GGGGACGGGAGAGAGCGAGAGCGAGAGAGAGAGAGAGAGAGAGAGAGAGAAGTATTTTGCGAGAAGGTAGAAATAGAGGCCGAAGAACACGGGGATAACTAATCTTTCAGTGCACAGGTGGTATACCCAGCTCTCTGTGTGTATCTTTCCTGTCCCTCTTTCAGGGCATACTCACACTAGCAGTTTCTTAGAATTTATGTGACCGCAATTACGGCGAGACCTGGATGCACCTGACGGCAATTACGCCCAGAGCTGAGTCGAAAACGTCCAGTGTGATTATGCCCTCATACCTTCAGGTACTCGCCACGCTTCATTTGGATGTAAACATGTAGGTATGCAGTGGATGTGAGGAATAGTGAGGATAAGGGTGGGGATGGGAAAACATTAGTGATCTTCGGGGGACAGCTGTGGGCAGGAGAAGAAGCAAGAAGTCGTAGTCTACTTCCTTCCGATTAGTACGCGTAGTAGTATTGTCTTCTTTCGATTAGTACGCGTAGTAGTATTGTCTTCTTCCGATTAGTACGCGTAGTAGTACTGTCTTCTTCCGATTAGTACGCGTAGTAGTATTGTCTTCTTCCGATTAGTACGCGTAGGGATTTGAACTGTAGAAAGAAAGACTACGTGCAAGTGTCGAACGAGGGATATGCATGTCGTTTGATTGAATGCGTTATTCTGTACGGGTGAAAGATAGTATTCCTTTCTCGGTCGGATTAATTAATGGTTCCCCTCCCCGTCCTGCCTCCCTCCTCCACCCCCCCCCCCCTTCTCCGCACAACAACCCGTGGAGGTCAAAGTCACTGCTTGCAGTTTTCTTCCTTTGATGACCTAATTGAGGCAGGGTAGGTTACGTTTGGCCGCCTGTCGGCTGTGTGACTGATAGTTATGAACAAACAGGGTATTTCGATGGGCTACGGATTCGGTCATCGCGCCCGAGAGAGAATGCGAGCAACGGAAAGGCCGCCCGATGAGATGGTGGGAGAAGAAGAGATGGCAACGAACACCGCCGGCGGCGCCGGCGTCGTCGAGAGAGAATGCGAGGGAGGCTTACGGCGCCCAGCATTGCCAATTGACAAATACGAGGAAGATATTGTGCGCGCGGTGAAAGCTCATCCTGTGATGGTTATAGTTGGCGAGACGGGGTCGGGCAAGACCACTCAGCTCTCTCAGATGCTATATCGCGCAGGATGGACCAAGGAAACGGCGGGGGAAGCGGCGGGGGAAGCGGCGGGGGAGGCGGGGAAATCGAGGGAAGCGGGGGGAACGGGGAAAGCAATGGCGCCGCCAAGCAGCAAGCAGCAGGGGTGTAGGAGGGTAGTGGGTGTGACTCAACCCCGGCGCGTTGCGGCTGTCTCCGTCTCCCGACGTGTCGCTGAAGAGATGGGTGTGGAATTAGGGCAAGAGGTCGGGTACGCCGTTAGATTCGAGGAGAGGTGCTCCTCGCGGACTGTCATCAAGTACATGACTGATGGGACCCTCCTGAGAGAGTATCTCTCCGACCCCTCCCTCTCTCAATACTCTGTCATCGTGCTCGACGAGGCGCATGAGAGGAGTCTTAACACCGACCTTCTCTTTGGGTTGCTGAAGCAACTGGTCGTGTCAGCGGTCAGACCTGACCTGCGTCTGGTCATCACTTCTGCCACGCTGGACGTCGGCAAGTTTTCCCGCTTCTTCAACGGATGTCCCGTGATGAGTATTCCGGGCAACCTGTTTCCCGTGGACGTCCTCTACTCGACCGATCGCCCCTCCAATCTCGTGGAATCGGCGGTGCAGACGATCTTGGACATCCATTGCGAGGAAGGGGAGGGGGACGTTCTGGCATTTTTCACGGGTCAGGAGGAGATCGAGAGGGTGGCGTGGATGCTGGAAAAGAGGATCCGAGCCATGAAGGAGGGGGAGTGCGGGGAGGTGGTCATCCTGCCTCTCTACGCCTCTCTCCCGCCGGCGATGCAAGCGAGAGTCTTCGTCAAGCCGCCGTCGGGATCCCGTCGGATCATCCTGGCGACGAACGTCGCCGAGACCTCGTTGACCGTGGATGGAATCGTCTTCGTGGTCGACCCCGGCCAAGTCAAACAGAAGCAATATGATCCGACGGCGGGAATGGACTTGTTACGGGTCGTAGCCATCAGCCAGGTGCAGGCGAAGCAGCGATCCGGTCGCGCAGGAAGGACCAGACCGGGCAAATGCTTCCGACTTTATCAGCGACCGGTCTTCGAGAGGGAGATGGCGAAATCGACGGTTCCAGAAATCCAGAGAACCTCGTTGTCCGGAGTAGTCCTCTGCTTAAAGAGCCTGGACTTGCCTAATTTGGATGTCCTGACTTTCGATTTCCTAGATAAGCCATCAAGAGAGTCGGTGGAGGACGCATTGTATCAACTCTACGTTGCCGACGCCATAGACAAAGAGGGGAGAATCACTCCGTTGGGAAGAAGGATGGTGCATCTCCCTCTGGATGCTTGCCTAGGGAGGACCCTGCTGGCCGCTGAAGAGCTCCACTGCCTCGAGGAGGCGATAACCGTAGCGGCTATGCTATCTTGCGACAAAATCTTGGTTTCACCGACCACCTCCTCCTCCTCGTCGTCGTGGTCCTCTTCGTCTCTCTCGTCTCTCGGAAGAGATGGAGATGGCGAAGAAGACGGGAGGAGGAGGAGGAGGAGGAGGTGGAGGGGGGCGCGCGGAATGAGTGGACAGGTAATCGACGAAGAGGAGGGGCGGTGGCTGCATGTTCAGCAACAGAAGCAGCAGCAGGATAAGCAGCAGGATAAGCAGCAGCAGGAGAGTCGGTTTCTGCTGCCTGATGGAGAGGGATTTGGAGATCATATCGTGCTTTTGCAGCTGTATGAAGCTTGGGAGGAGACTGGATACGATTTGCAATGGTGTCGGGACCGAGGCTTACAGATTAGGGCGCTCAACTTTGCGCGAAATGTGAGGAGGCAGCTCGTGCACATGATGAAGGGAGTATCGGAATCTAGTCATGATCGGCAGCAGATACATGGACTCTCATCGTCGGCCGCGGACGAGCGATCTTCTAGTGACGACGATGGGAGGGAGGTGGAGAGAGTGAAGAAGAAGAGTAGTAGTAGGAGGAGGAGGGAGAAGAGTCTTCATGATTCCGGGAGGAGATATTATGGATTCCAGGATTTGAGAAAAGCTCTGTGTGTTGGATTTGCCAGCCGCATTGCTCGCCGTATGCCAAGACATAACGGGTATAAAACAATGGCAGGGGAGAGAGGGAAATCCTCCTCCTCCTCCTCCTCCTCCCATCTTGTGGAAATACACCCTTCTTCAACGGCTGCCCTTCGCTTTGATGAGGACGGACTTCTGCCAGAATGGATTATTTACCATTCTCTAGTTGCAGTCAATCGTGCTTTTGTCCGCCAGATCTGCGTAGTGGAGGAGAGTTGGGTCGCCCCTCTTCTACCCAAACTGAGGGATGTTGACGTTCAGAGGCTGAGCGGCTTGGGTCCTTGCTCGGGTGAGGGGCATGACGGGAAGAATGATGATCCTTCGCAGGGACAAGGAAGTGATGTAGTGGTGGGGAGAAGCCACGAGGAGGAGCAGAATAACGCTGAGGAGAGAGCAGGAAGAAGAGTCGGGGGGGGGTGTGACAATAGCGAGAAGAAAGAGCGAAATTTGTCAATGATAGAAGGGGCACGGGAGCGATACCTAGCAAGAAAACGCGCAAAGCAATAGGCGTGAGCTGTCTGTTGGTAGGACGGTCAGGATGGCTTTGCTTCATGCCTGCCTTGTCCCTGAGCTTGTAATCGACTTTGTTGATGAATTCGTTTGTTTCTCTCTCTTTGGTTGTTCTGATGAAGACGGTGTACTAGGATATAACCCCGGATTGTAGTGGCTCTGGCATATGTACGTAAGTCCATACGTCGCTTGCTATATTTAGCAATGCCCATGGGTCTGTACTCTTGTCCACACACACACACACACACACACACACACACACA